AGCTAACAAGGCTCTTCTATGCGGATGAAAAGGGCCCTTTCCCTGGGAGCAGTCAGTGGGCTGGGCACATAACTGAGATCAGCAGAGATGAAGGGATGAGGAGCTCATAGGATTGAAGGGTACAAACAGTAGGAATGGAAAACCATGATTCTGGGTTGGTGGAAAGATGCCCATCTTTGAAAAAATATTTTTGCAAAATGATTTGCCTGCTGGAAAACAGCAGTTGAGCTCAGGGATTTTTTTCTTTAGAGGTAGGCATTTTTTTAAGGTATTTTTTTGAATGAAGGCAAGAACAGAATGGTGATAGAGACTGAGAAAAGGGAGCAGGTCTGAAAGAATAAGTGATTCAAATATCATAAGCGAGACACTTAGATGCACAAGAGGTAAGAAGATCAAAGGGTTTTTTTAAGACGAAAGATGTGTATTTGGAATTTTTTAAAAAATTTATTTCATTGGGATAGCTGGTGCCTGTTAGCTGTCTCACAGGAAAACTATAAGTAAGACAAAGCAGGGGGAATTTTACTGTTAGTCAAGCTATGATTTAGTACTACCCATGCTCTTAGACAGACGCAAAGTAAAATTACAGCCTCACAGAGAGGTACAACAGCTAACACTTCTTACCCTGTGATTTAAAAAAAAAAAAAAAAGAAAAAGAAAAAGAAACAACCCTTTTTGGCAATCAAGAAAAAGTAAAAAGCCAAACTATCCTTGTGTCAGAGAACCTAGTAATATTCGCTGGCTCAAGCCCTGACTGGTGGCTTGGCAAGTACTGACGGTAGAGCATTGCACATAATAGACCTTGTTTTATGTGCTCGTCTTACTTATGAGCCTAACAGAGTGTATAATTGATACTGAAATAAAGCGTAGTGGGGATTCATATATTTATATTGTCTGTTCATGTCACAGTGGAGCATGTATCCTGGTTGGAAAGCCCAAGCTCTTGCTAAACTTTAATTGCCTTCGCTTGCCGATCATACGGTAAAGGTTGTTGGCTAATTAAGGGTGGTTTCTGAATCAGGATTCTGTACACACAAAATATGCTGTTATATTCTCATCTGTCTAGACAGGTCACCTAATCCAGTATTAAAATGCTGAAACAGGAGGGGAAAACATTTTCTTGAAGCTTTCATGTGAAGAATTCATATGAGTTCACCCAAGCCAGGATTAGGAAAGCTGTACTCAAAGAACTGAGCTAAAATCGTTACGTTTCTATAGGATGTAGATAGCAGGAAAGATGTTTCTTTACTGTGGCAATTAAAATACATGCATCAAAGTGTTATCTGGAGGCTGGATGAGAAGTGGAGAGTGCTGTAGCATGCCTATGGGTTGTAATAAATCCCAAAGACGTTTCCAGTAAGAGTTATTTCAGCTGTGGGTTTATAATAGCTCACAAATAAGGAAGGACTAGCCAGATGAAGATTTATTTCTTCTTGAAGAGGAGATGACTAGGATCATATATAAAGGTCCTTAGCACCGAGGAGAATGTGAACAGGGAATGACTGTTCTGTGTTTCTTATAACTTAGTTTTGGGGCATGTCCTCGATTCTCATTGGGTAGCAGTTTTGAAACCACCAAAAGGACATTAATATTTGCATAAAGGGTAATAGACTGTGGAGCTCCTCACCACAAAATTGTTGTGAAGGCCAGAAGTATATAGGGATTCAAAAAGGAGTCAGCAAATGCGAGGAGGAGAAGACCTTATTGGACTTAATGCTGGAAGCTGGTACTACCAGAAGAGGGTCATTCCTCTTCGTACCAACCTTAGACTCTTCAATATGACTTGCTGTGGCAGTTCTTATGTACCTGTTAGTAACTGTACTGCTTTGCCCCCTTCATATCCCAGTGGTGGACTTTCCCAAAGCTCCGAATACAGAGATCCCAACGTTCGGGACTAATCTTAAAAGAACTCTGAGAAATTTTGGTTCTTACTTTGTTAGATTAAAAGTCAATAAACTGGCATGCTTGGGAGGGGAGATAAAGGACCAGTGATTGACAGGACCCAAGAAATGTGGTGGCTTCATTCAGCCTTGAGAGAAGGTTTGTTGCCCAGAGAAGTGGCTGCCCCATCCCTGGAAGTGTTCAAGGCCAGGTTGGATGAGGCTTTGAGCAACCTGGTGTAGTGGAGAGTTTCCCTGCCCATGGCAGGGGCTTGGAACTAGATGATATTTAAGGTCCCTTCCAACCCAAACCATTCTGTGATTCTATGATTTGTAGGAGGCCCATCTCCTTCCCATTGTCCTGCACTATTAAATAGAGAAAGTGATGTTTCCTTTTTTGATTCGGTTTTTAACTAGAGTGTTGACCCTCATCTCTGATTGCAGTATGTGTTTGTGGCTAGTCTGTTGTGGAGTGGTCTTGTCTTTTGTATTAGCCTCTGACTGGTGAGGATTTAACCTACGCATCATCAAGCAGTTCCTGACTAACTCCAAGCCTGGAGTGCCATGTTCCTGTTTATCTTAACTTTAACCACTTTCAGAGTGGATTAAGATGAAAAACGAACAAAACACTCTTGTTCCAGATGAGGAAAGCCCACAGGAGTGATGAATCAGTGTCAAAGCCAAGTAGAGACAAGTCCTGAGGTATCTGCAACTGGAAACTTGGCCCATCTCACCAGCTTCTGTAGGGAAGGAGCTTTACATCCTCCACCCCTCTGCCTGCTCCAGATCTCTACTGTTTACTACAAAGAAGAAATCATTCACGGCTACTTCTTCAAACCGTTGTGCTGCTTTTGAATCCCACTTGCTCAGAATTAAGTCCAGTGCCTGTTTTTGGCTGCTCACAGCTTTTCACTTGTCACATAACCATGGTTCATGACTCTTTTGCCATGACTAGAAAGCATCAGATGCTTGACACGTTTGACTTCAGCTTGGAAATAACTCTCCATACACCAATGTCTGGCTCCCTGTGACAGATATCTGTTAGCTGGAATCTGCTGATCGGGAGATGAAAACAATGAGATGATTGATGTAATCACAGGTAGAAGTTTTCAGCACGGCTGCAGCCAGAGCTGGCTCCATGTCACCTGCTCCGTTGTTCAGTGGTGGTTGGAACAAGCTGTATTGCCAGAAGCAGTGTTTCTTGCAGGCGCTGTGCTAATCTCTCTTGCAGGTGTGCCCAGATAGGGTGGATTGAGCTGCAGTTGTTCCACTGGAACTAAACATTTTCGAAATGATTGTCAAGAGCTCCAGTAGAACCACCTTACTTTTTATGCCACCACTTAAATCACTACTGACTGCAGTCTGGTGTCACCTCTATTACAGAGTGCTGGAGATGCTTGTAAATATATGTATATTATATGTGTATATAAGTATACATATATAGATGCTTTAAGAACCCCTATGAACAGGGACTCTCCAAATGAAACCACTATTGCTTTGTACTTCATTGGTACACAGAATCATGTACTGCAGTAGTCCAATAGTATCTTAAGCAGAAGGGTTTGAGTCTTCTCCTGGCAATGCAAGAGAGAAACAAGAGTCTTTGACAGTGGCCAAGTGTTGGGCAAATTGGAGAAAAACTCAGAAGGTGTATCCAGCAGCTTGGCAACAGGTAGAGGCAGCATACTGACTCCTTGGATTTCTCCGCAGTCCGTAAGCGTTGGGTAGGGAGGACGGTAAGGCTAGGAATCATGTGTGTGCTTTATCCAAATCATTGGGCACCAGCTGATTCAAGGACCGATGAATCCTGGCTGTGTGTTTATCCTTTGCAAGTCAGGACTGATGTCTTCTTGGGCCTGGTGGAGCATGTGTCTCTGTACTCTGTTCCTTCATGCTCTTCAGGACAGGTGTCCACCTGCTCAGAACCAGATGACAAGACATTGACATTGGTATATAAAGACGTCCTACATTGGTGATCCCTGATTAAAGTTGAACCTTAACCATGGACTCAGGCCGTGTACTAAAATAAGGTGATGGGACCCGAGAACTAAGGGTATATACAGTTAAAAAGATGGCTTCTAGGAGTTTGCGAAGAAAAAGAGGATACTGCTTGAAGGAGCAGTGGATGCATTGAGTAAGTGGAGGAAGAATTGGACTAGTCAGGACTGCTATGGGTTAGAACCTCTCTTCATCAAAGACTGAGGCTGATCCTGATGTGGCAGGACAGTGTTGGCTCCAGTGGCTGCATCATGTGGCTGTGAATTTTTGAACTGGCCCTTGTTGGCTTTCATCAGTTAAAACATTTTTCCGTCTGTACCGTTTCTGTAATGATTGGTTTGATATCTGATCTCCATGCTTTGAGCTAAATCCTCTTTACCTAGTCCCGTAGTTATATGATCTGAAGCTTATGTTTTGTGGTTGCCACAGAGGCAAAGTGAAGCTTCATCACTGTGTTGTGGAGCTTGTCGGCATTGGGCGTGTGGTTTTCTTTTTCTTTTCTTTTTTTTTTTTTTTTCTAAAGTCCTTACCACAAAATTGCCACTTTTGGAGGTTATATAAAGAGATGAGAGTTTGAAAATCCTTTCTCTGGAAATAGTCTACATGATGCAAGAGGGTGGAGATTTCTGGAGTTTCCAGTACTGGTGCTCCAGGCCAGAAAGTTGTTGCATCTGAATTTGACCTCAGTTATCTTTCCTGTACATCTCATTTTGACGGCTGAGTCTAGTTGACAAGTTTTCTTTCTTGCCTGCTGGACTGTTTTTATTTTATTTTATTTTTTAACGAACATCCTTAGGATTTTTAACTGCAGAGGAGACGCTTGAGCCAATTTTGCTGAACACACTTGTTTTCTTTTTCCATAGGTTCCTTAGAAAGAGAGCTTGGACGGCATGCAAAGTTGTGAAATATCTGCAGACAGCACGGATGATCCTCTTAGTAGTGGCCTACGGAGAAAACGACAGCCTCGAATAGTGGTTATCGGTGCTGGGCTTGCAGGGCTGTCAGCGGCCAAGGCGCTCCTGGAAAGCGGTTTCACGGATGTAACTATCCTTGAGGCGACTGACCGCATCGGAGGCCGCGTGCAGAGCGTGAAACTCGGTAAGAGCGGCGTTTTGGGAGCAACGCGTTGGGCGTGCTGTGTCCTGCTGGCAAGGCTTCGTGTTGGCGATTAGGTCGATTTGACCTTGGAAATGTACTTTTTCCGGCAACGTGCACGTGCAGAAGGTTGTTTGAGGTGTGGTGTGGTCAGGAACAGAAATCCTTGGGCTCCTTTCAGGGTGGGTGACTGAACCTGAGCTATCTTGTGCATCTCTTTCGAGGGAGGGCTGCTCCAAAACCATGTTTCTCTAGAATAAAGACATCAGTGATCGTTTTCACTCCTATGGGAAGAGCTCTCTGTGAGCTGTGAGAAGCGTTCTGTGATTAAATAACTGTATCAAGACAGTTTCCACCACCGTTTTCGAGTTTGACTCTTGACTAGGGGCAGTCAGTAAATCTCCTGGCTAGTGAAGGGCTGTTTCTCAGTGACTTACATCACTTGCAAAGGGGCAAGCTCCACGCTCTTCTGTTTCACAAATAGCCCCATTCATTTCCCATATAACTAATTTACTGTGGAGGGCACTGCCCACTGTGAATCAGGGCTGCTGGAAAAACCTCTTCAATGTATCCTTTCATCCCGATTTGCAGCTTTCCTACCTCTGAGCTTCCTTTCTCAGTGTGTAATAAAGGTGCAGACACTGGATGTTTTAATCCTGGGTCAATTGGAAGGGCTTGTAAAATCTCTAAATGCAAGAAAACCTACTGGAACAAACGTTACCCTTTGCAGCACAGCAGTCGATGAATCTTTCCCTGGCACCTAGAAGGGCATCGCCCTATCTCTTCTCCACAGGAGGCAAAGAGCTCCTCACTTTTGCTCAATTGGCTTCCTGATTTCAATTAACTGATTCTGTTTCTGATCCCACTCTCTCTATTTAACAACTCTGGCCTCTCGCTGCCCTCCTTTTTATTTATTTGTCAGGTGCTTACATCACTTACTATATTTTACTGGATAAACTCACCGCAGTAAATAAACAGCAGTGTCCTATGAACTTTCAGAAGGGAAATGAATGAAAAGGCAGTCAGACAAATCTAATCTCCAGGGTTTGAATAGGGCAATTTACATTCTGCTGAGACTTGGCATAGAGATTAGAACGGGAAGCGTGTCCTTTACTCACAATACGTTGTGTTACAAATATCCTGGATCGTGTCTGTGAGAGGAGGGAAGTGTTAAAGACCTGAAATCTTTAGGGAGCAATATATAATTTTGTCAGTGCACCTGTGAAATAGTTTTGTGTTACTAGTATGGAGACCAATTCTCTCACCTTTTGACACGTTTACCGGTTACTCATCTCTTTACCTTTGCTGGGAATCTACCTCCTGTTTGTTACCGCTTCTTAACTAACAAGAGACAAGAGCAGGCTTTTCAGTCTGGTGGAGATCCTGCAGTTTGTAGCTGTAATTGTTATTTGCAGAGCAGAGGACTGGAATCTAAAGTTTTAGTCTTGATCTTTTAATAATTTTTTGTAAAACTATAAACTGTCTGTCTTTTCTTGTCTTCAGCAAGTTATCAAAATTACGTGTGCCGACTGCGGTTCTTTCCCAAGGTGGGTGCATGTTCTGGCCCCTTGTGTGCTTTGCAGATTCACATGCCCTTTAGCCCAACAATTCTGGAGCTCTTTTGGGTGGTGAAATCTTAAGAAGCGGCATGTATTCAGAACCTCCTTATTCCTTTGTACGAGGGCAAAAGGGCAGCATGGTCCTGGGCTTTTTCTTCTGTACTGCTTGGAGCAGCAAGATGGGACCTGGGGCATGCAAGACCTGCTCATTTCACAGAACTGGCTAAAGCTTGCAAAAAAAACTGTTACAGAAGTGGTTCTTCCAGATCTTCAACATGCAACCACTTTGATCTGCTTGTCTAAATGACATTTAAATGTTAAACTTCTCTGGGCACTCCCCTGCCAGCACACTTGACTAAAGAGCCGATTTAAATCTTCAACAGAGCTATGGTGGCATCTTCTCTGGGTTATATCCTAATATTGCCACTCTCACTGAGCTGTGCTGTGTCTTGCAGGGGACAGTATTTTCCCTCAGCTGCATAGAGTATGTCGCTGCTCAGCACAGGGTTTGGATTTTCAGAGGTTTGGTTCATCGTTCCTAGCACTGGTGAGGCAAAGGGTTTGTGTGTTTGTGGCTTGTTTGTCGTACATGATCTATAACATCCGTATGCGCTGCAGGTATTTCTCGACAGGATGCCCAAGAAATAGTCAGGGCTGCGAAGGGAAATGTGAAAGTTCCCCTGTGCATTCAGAAGGCTTGATACGCAATCTGTGCGTTCCTTTGGAAAATTGCTGGTATGGTATATGGCTGTGCATAGGCTTGTTTTGACTGCTGCTTGTGTCTCAGTAGTTCTGTTCACAGAATAGGAAGCAGACTTTTTTTCTATTTTTCGTTGTATGATTTTTTATTTCTATTTTTTGTTGTATCGGATGATTCATTTGAAGTAGATTAATATTGAAACTGAAGTCTTTTAAGGCCCTGAAAGTAAATTAACTGTCTCTTTTAAAAAAGATGTTATTTAATTTTACACTTTTAAATAATTTATCATGTAACTTACACTAGGTAACAACTGGCTTATCTGCTTGGTAGTCATGATAGTGAGTTTCTAAGTATTACAGGCAAGAATGACTCTTTTTAATTTGCTGGTATCTGATTATATTCCACATAGCTACTGAAAACCAGGAGAACTTGGAACACATCATCATTGTTACCCACTGTCATTTTTTTTTTTTTTTTCTTTCAAAGATCAGGTGCCCCATAAATAAGAGCTATATGCAGGAGGATTGTTAGCGTAGCAGAGAGCAAGCTCCTGACATAAAGCAGCAGGCAGTATTACTGCTGCTGATCTGGCATGTGATGACTCGCAGGAGGATTGCATTAACAAGGTGACTGCCACATGCAATATTTATGAGCTTTGTACCTTTGGCTGCCAATGTACAGCAGTCATTTCCGCGAGGCCGGGTGCGCTGGGAATGTATCGGAGTTTGCGGCGCCCTAAATGTTCACGCGTTTGTGACTTGGTGCTGCACGCTCTGAAGCACATGCCTTGTTTTAGGTACACGTAGAAATCTTGTGCTCTCGAGCCCTGTAACGCATATTTTGAAGGGCGATCAGCGTGCTCCTTAATAACGAGGTGGCTGGCTGCTTGAAAAACAAGATACGTGGAGCTTCCCTTGGAGGCAGTGTCTCAGCTGGACAGCAGCGTTTCTTGGAGCTTTCACCTGTTCAACTCGACTGCGCCGTAGCACAGCACCGCAGTGTCTTTCTGTCTGAGCATACATTTACATGTTAAACAGTATATGATGATTGGTAAGCGCACGATCCTTCCTTCATCAAGCAGAATCCTATTAACGAACCCACTTAATCAGGCGTTCGCAGACCTCTGCAGGGCGAGCTGCACGGCGTGGTGTTGGCTGGGATGCCGAGAGAACGCAGTTTTGTCAGACTTCAAAGCGGCTAGCTTTGGACTTCTGAGGATCTGTGAAAATATGGGTGGAGGACATGACCCAAGCTTATTTTTAGCACCTCCTTTCAGCTGCTGAAGATCTCCCTGTGCTATCAGCCCAGTCGTGGCAGAGCTGGCTTAGGGGCAGACAGAGTCCTGGTGCAAACCCTGTTAATCATAAGGAAGGAAGAGAGCAGGGCTGACCAAACTCTGTGTTTTGCAGGCAGAGAGAATAGGTGATGAAGACTAAATGCGTTTGATGTTTAACCTGACAGCGCATCTTTTTGAAGAACCTGATTTAAATTTTCAAAGACATAGATGATGAAATATAACCTATTTTCTCATTTAAGGAATGCTATTGCAGTTAATCTGAAGTATATTTGTAAATAACGTGCATTTTTAATCACAGGACAAAGTTCAGTATATCCAATTTTTTCCTGTATCTCCCTGCTGTAGATGCTTTTCTTCCCATGTCTGGGTATCCATCCCTTCCTCTCGAATACGGTGGATATTTGAAGCCTTTTGGTACTCTTACGACTTTAATGTTTATGTAAGTATCCTTATATGTCCTTTGTGCCATAGCACAGTGTGGCTTCTTACAGCTCTTTTCCTTCCCACGCCCCCTTCACTAGTACATGGCTTGTGCCGCAGTGCGAGCAGTACATTCTCTGCTTTCTGATCATGTTCTAAAGTGCAGGTTTAGAAGAGATTATTTAGAAAGGCCAAATAACAAGGATAGAGCAGCTAGCAACAACCATGATAAGAGCTGGGAACCTAGGAGATTCTGAATTTTACCTTAAGTATCAGATGTGTGACTGTGATGTATCGTTATTGGCATCCTTCTATCACTATCTAAGCTTGTATCCTGAGGGACTGGTTTGAAGAACACTGGCATTGCCCTTGTCTAACAGAGAAAGCTTGCTTAAGTGATGTTCAAACATGTGGTGTCCTTGAGCAATTGTTCTGTTTTTGCACATGTATGTTTTATTTAGGGTTGTGTGTGACAAGCTTTCAGAAAAATGGGCTTCTGTAACTGGTCTGCTTGGTTTACTCTCCTTCAGGGCACGCCACTTTTGAACTGGGAGCTACGTGGATTCATGGTTCGCATGGAAACCCAGTCTATCATCTAGCAGAAGATAATGGTTTACTTGAAGAGACTACCGATGATGAGAGAAGTGTTGGGCGGATCAGTCTTTACTCCAAGAATGGGGTGGCTTATCATCTTACCAACAATGGGCAAAGGATCCCGAAAGATGTGGTTGAAGAATTCAGTGATTTATACAACGAGGTTGGTATTCAGTGGCTTTGTCAGGTTGTAGATTTGCCTGAAACACTGGAACCTCTTGAGAGTTACAGCGTTCCAGGTGCTGGACAAAGGTGGAAAACCAGTAATGTCTTTAATTTCTTTGCCAAAAATCAACACTTATTTTGCTCTCCTCTGTGTAACTGTACTCCATTTGTCCCTGGTGTGGGATTAACTCACTGTCATTAGGAAGAACAATCTTTCCACATTCGTCATCAATTTAATCGCTTCCAGCAACTATTGCTGGGGAGATCCAGTTATTTGCTCTAGAAAGTTGCTATTTAATTAAAAGGGTAAAGGAGGGATCAAATTGCTAAACAAAGTAGAATGTAAAACCTTAGCAACGACCAGCTAAATATTGTAGCCCTGTGATATTTTATTGATGTTATAAATACCATAGTGTGCTGTGTAGTGTGCCAAAGTCAGAGCAGTATCGTAGGAATTGCAAGTTTTCTTGCATCAGAAGGAAAGGAACATCTTTTCTGGTAGACTCGGACCAGCATGAACTTAAGATTATTTTAACTTCTTTTACTCAATGTTCAGTGACATCCTCTTCAGTTCAGTGTAGATGGGGGCCTCAGTATGTGACAGAAGAGCCAGATAGAAAAAAAACCCAACCAAATATAGATGCAGAACCTAAAAATACTATATAGAAGCTTGCAAGATGAAAATGAATATACATGTTTAGTGGAAAGATTAACCTCTGCTAAAAAAGCAATAAACCAATGTTAGATTCAGACAAAAAAAGTCAGATTTACTTTCATGTGACTTGGCACTGCTGCTGTCGTCCTAGTGTTTATTTCAGAGGGAAAATGGAGATAAACCAATGTTAGATTCAGACAAAAAAAGTTCAGATTTACTTTCATGTGTCTTGGCACTGCTGCTGTCGTCCTAGTGTTTCTTTCAGAGGGAAAATGGAGTTTCTTTCGGATTTGTGTGTTGAACACATATGAAGATTGGTATTAGTTCCATCTGCTTTCACTAGGAAGATTTGGCCTTAGATAGAGTGAAGTGAAAGGAGGAGGTTTGCCAAACTTAATTATAATTATTCCCCATGTTTTTTTAATGTCACTTATGAAGTACATTTAGGGGGGGTCAGTGCAGAACGTCTAGTCCTTCAGGTAATGTGATCTCTCAGTGGATTATATGAAATGGAGCAAAACATTATTATTTTCAGCAGGCTGTAGCCATGCCTAAAATCTTCAGATTTTCATCTGACAGTGAATTTCACCAGTATTTGATGCTTAGCTAAACACACGCTAGATTCAGGTTACTCTTGCATACTTTCTGTTTAAAAATATGTCCATGAGCACTTAGAAGGCCACCAAGAGAAAAGTCACTGTACCCTGTAAAGATTATCAAGAATTGAATGGGAGCAGAAATGGGGATTTTTTTGTTTGGGAAGACTTTTGACACTGTCCTGGGGCTCTGAATGGGATTCTGTGATGGGATGGCACAGAATCATTTCAGTTTTAGAGAGGGGTAGTAGGAATTTCAAAGAAACCTCATTATGGAAGGAATTTAGCAACCTGTGGCAGGGAGGGAATTCTTCTTGGACAAATGCAAGTGGAGATAATTCATCTGAACAACTTTTTCCGTATTACTGGATTGAAAACGGAACCATTATTCTGGGCAGTCAGAAAAAAAAAAAGACAGGTAAGATGTGTGTGGAGCAAGATTAACAGCAACTAAGACTAGAAAAGAAAGAGGGAGTAAGTGAAAATACTGCAGCGAGCGGCATTATTTATGTAAATGGAACACTGCCAAAGTGCATGCAATGCTTGGTGATCATCCTGTCTCAAACATGGTAGGAACATCTCCAGCAAAGGGAGGGTGTCAGAGGCGGGCAGGCTCTGAAATGAGAAGATAATACAAAGATGAGAGCTACTTAGCTTTGAGATACAGCCAATAGGATAAAGGCTATAACAAGGTGCAGGTGTTTTAGAAAGGATTCGTTTGGAAAATCTGCCCTTTCTTTTACAGCAAGAGAAAGGAGGCAGGCAGTGACAGGAGAGAACAACACATTAAAAGTTAATCTTCTTTACGCAACACGTAATTAGCTTATCGTTGCCACAGGATATCTTTATCACTAGGAGACAGAAAAGGCTTTCACATTTATGGATTGTAAAAACATCTACAGCTACTCTCTGTGATAAAAAATATGTAAGGGACAGCTTATGCCAAGAAGAGGACATCAGCCAACCTCTTAACTGCTGTTGCTGGGGAGGTGCTGTCTCTGTCTTCCTTCAAAGAGTGCTGGAATTTCTTGTTGGGGCAGCTCATGGTTTTGTTGAGCTTCTTGTCCCAGCCTCTTTGGGGTGTCAGATTGGACGATCTTTAGTGATTTAAGACAGCTGTCTGTGGGTTCTTCCCCTGCGCTGCGAAGGAAAAGTGGGAACTGAGGTGAGCTATGTGATCTCCTGAAAATCGCCAGTTAAAAAAGACTGTATGAAATACAAGCGCCCCAATGAGAGGAAAGTCAGGAGCATGTGCAGCAGGCCTGTGGGTTCAGGGACCTTTTCCTCTGGCATAAAGTGCAGAGAAACTTTCTGTTTACACATGCTGAGTCTGCCTGGTGCATTTCTGTCTTGTGTTTGGTTGAGTCCCCTGCTCCCCAAGCAATTTTTTGCATTTTCACTACAGTCCATTCCATCTGTGTGTTGTTTTTTTTTTTTATCCTGTCTGGCCAGTACTCTCTTGCTTTAACTGGTTATGAAATGGGTGCTGAGGAGGAACGGTAGGAATTTGGTCTTCAGTTCTGCATCTCTATTCTATTTTTTTTTAAGACATTTTGTTAAAACATCTTGAAGTTGTCCGGGATAAAAAGCCATTTTACAGATCACCATATCCTGAGGTCAGGCTCCTCCTATGCCTTGCAGGAGCTCCCAAACCCTTCTCAGAGTTTTGGGCAGTCTGCTGTTAGCAATGGCACCATCATGTCCTCTCATCCCTCAGACTGCGTCTCTCTCTTTAGAAGAGGCTGAGAGAGCAAAGGCTGTGACACGTACTGTCCTGACTTGAAAAGCAAAAAAATAAAACAAACCCAAAACAACCAGCAATCACATGGATGCAAAGCCTAATGAGGGATGGAGCACTGGCAATAACAGTGGAAAATGTAGTCCTGAATGAACGGGGCTAAATTTGTCGCCGTTTCAAACGCCTGCCCTCCCCGCGCAGCTGGCTCGCTTCCCACGCGCTCACACGCTGCCCTCCTCTTGCTGCAGCTGCTGCCGTGTGCTCGGGCTGGAGCATATGTCTCCAGATCTGCTCCTCCATCTGCATCCCTCTAGCTCCAGTCACCTTGTCATCTGGACACCAGATTCTAGTGGATGCAAAGCGCGGAGGGTCTCCCTCGAGTGTTTCACTTGGGTGTGTGGAGTCCCTGAAGCTGGAGCCTCGCAAGGTGAAGCCTTTCCGCTGGGTGCTGAATTTTCCTGGTGTGAAAGGCAAAGGTACACCCCGGTACCTCCAGAGCTTTGCCTCGCTAGTTCATTTGGAAAGTTGTTACACTTTTTCCGGGCACTTATCCAATCTTTTTTTGGCTGGCGTCTTCTACTTCAATACAAGTTTTGCTGCTTTTTGTTTGCAGTAGCCTGAATTTTTAATAGCTGTGGGGAAACCTCACAGAAGGCTTTATTTGGTTGTGAGAAAGCCAGCAGTAAGGCTGCTCAGCTCTTCACTTCTGTAGCAGAAAGGTCTCTATGAGAGGCTCTCTTAACTGAGAGGTTGTTACACTGCACTAAAGTCAGTCAAGATCTATGACGAGCTTGTGACCGAAGTGACCCAAATCCTCCTCTGTGAGAGCACTGAATGCTGAGCAGTGCCTGTAAGGAAGGTCTCCGGTTGTGCAGAGCAGCTACCTGAATTTCCAACCATGCATTGCCAAGTGATGTGCCATGAGAAAGGGCATGGAACCTGCTGTGGGCAGGACAGCTCTCCAGCCACTCTTGTTCTAAGACTGTCCTTCTTAGACCTTGTACTCTGCGGGGCTGGCACTGCTCAGGTCATCATCAGTCCATTTGGTCAGTCCCTCAAAGGAAGGAGGCACCAGCACTGGAAGGTTTCCCAGGGTGTGATGTTCATGCCACATATTCATAATCTTTTCACCTTTCTCTCCACTCCTGCTGGGATAATTGGGGGAATCCTGGGTCTGGGGGAGGATTTTGTCCTCTGCATGCTTATACCACATCTGTATGACCCTCAAAGAAATGTGATAGGAGTGCAACCTTTGAGGGTAATGTCTGCAGCTTCAGTGTCTGTGTACGCATGTAACTGCTGGGAAAATGTGAATAGGGACAACCCCTCTCAGAGTTGCTCTTCTATCCCTGCTAAGTCCTCGTTTCCCCTCTCCGAAGAAATATTTAAGGCCAGCTGCCAGGTATTTGTGAAGGGTGGGAGGGAGATGATGAGCTTAACATGTTAAATGCAGGTGAAAAATCACACTGCCTTGCCTGCCCAAGAATTTATCAGTCCATCGGCAGGCCTGATTTAGAAAAAGTGTCTATTTTTACTTAGGCTTTTCAGTAAGGATGTGGTCCCTAAAGACCTGATTGCCAGGAACCCTCCCTTTAACAATCAGCTAATTAATGGCCTTGTTATCTGTCAGCTGTCTCCTGTGTGCTGCACAGCTTCTGGGGGAGAGACGCAGCCAATGAATGACAAAGTTTTCTACCCTTCTCACCCCCACCCTGTGCTGGGCTTCGTGCCATCCCCAATCAAGCTCCAGTGCCGTGCCTTGCCTTTTCTTATCGTAGAAAGCAGGACCAAAGGGCCACCGAGAGTCACCGTTCCCTCCCTGCCCCTCTATTGCACTGGCAGATGTCTGGCCTGGTAACAGCATGGACCTATCTCTGTTGGGTTCTTTTACTGACCGAGGATTAAGTCACTGCTGTTTTTAAGCCAAGTGAGGAAAAAGACAATGCTATGGATCGTCACCGGCACTGGCAGGAAGGAGCATGGATTGGGATGTGCTTTCCTGACCGCCTTCAGTACAGAGAAACTTCTTTATTTAGATTTGTTCTTCCTAAGAGACTGCCTCTTCCTGTGGTGGAGGAGCACGTATGTAGTAAACACGTGTAGGTGGAAGCCTGTAGGTAACAGAGAGGACATCCCTGGTGGAGCCCACGTTCTCTGCAGACGCCTTGGTGTGGGATGCCCCAAAGCTGGTCAGAAAGAAGACAGATGATGTAAGCTGAAGTTAAGCCATTTTAGGATTGTGCCCATTTGATTAACTCCTTTGAATTTCTGATGTTCAGCCCTGTTTCACTGCAAGATTGTATATAAACCCTCAGAATTAGGAATGGAAGTCTGCTTAGAATGAATAGTCGCTTGAGATGTTCTGCATCTTTTGCTTCTGCTGATGGTTCTTGCAGATGGGCTTCTAAGGCCAGTTATTCTGTCCAAACCCAGAGCAGCTTTAGAGTGATAAATGATTCCGTCATTGTGCTGGGATGTGAGTTTGCCAGTGGTAGGAGCTGGGAGTTGATGTGGTCTCTCTCTTTTTTAATTCTCCTGCTTGTATCAGGTCTGTGATAATATAAAAGGGACCGCATATCGTGTGGCTCTCCTTGCTGATGGGCACAGTGGTCTCAGTTTGGATGCACGGATATTTTGTAGGGTTAACTAGAAAATCAACAGAGTTTTTCAGGTGGTTCTTGATGCTACCTTTCACCAGAATCTTTGAATTAAAGCCCACTTGAACTCTCTCAGGAACCCTTGTGTCATCGCATCATGATTAAATGATCGAAGGAGAATGTGTTTTCAGATCTCACAAACGCCTATTCGGCATGACTTCAGAGCTGGACCCATTGACACAATGATTCTTTCTGTTATTATGAGCAGTTTCCCACCTAAGGAAGCAAAGCTGAAGTAACTCCAACTCTAGACAGTACAATTCTGCTCCTGCTTCATTAGAAACTACCTTAAATGGAACTTGTAGTGAAACGTTTCCATAGTTTCTTATATAGGATTTATTTGCCACATGTGCACACTAAAGAATACAATTTGAGCATCTTTTTATTATGATGATGTACTCTGCTCTCCTGAGACCCCACCTGGAATACTGCGTTCAGCTCTGGAGTCCCCAACACAAGAAGGACATAGAGCTGCTGGAGCGGGTCCAGAGGAGGCCACAAAGATGATCCGAGGGCTGGAGCACCTCTGCTATGAAGACAGGCTGAGAGAGTTGGGGCTGTTCATCCTGGAGAAGAGAAGACTCTGGGCTGATCTTATTGCAGCTTTCCAGTACTTAAAGGGGGCCTACAAGAAAGCTGGAGAGGGATTTTTTCCAAGGGCATGTAATGATAGGACAAGGGGCAATGGCTTTAAATTGAAAGAGGGCAGATTTAGGTTAGATATAAGGAAGAAATTTTTCACTCTGAGGATGGTGAGGCACTGGCACAGGTTGCCCAGAGAAGTTGTAGATGCCCCATCCCTGGAAGTGTTCAAGGCCAGGTTGGATGAGGCTTTGGGCAACCTGGTGTAGTGGAGGGTGCCCCTGCCCATGGCAGGGGGGTTGGAACTAGATGATCTTTGAGGTCCCTTCCAACCCAAACCATTCTATGATTCTATGACTTGCTGTTGTTTCCCCTTGTGCTTCTTGCCTACAGCAGTTTTGGCTTCTGCTGTTCTTCATCAAATGGTTCAGCACCCCCAAGAAGAGAAAAGGAAGGAAATAACAGGATTCTGATAAAAAATAATAAATCCTGATGGTGATTATACTTACCTGCTGACTCATTAATGGGATGACATACATAGGAAAAACTTTACTTGATGTTTACAGCACAGAGCGCTGTGCATTTCTGCTCTTTACGCTGTTGGGCAATGAAGAATACAATGGTTAATAAAAACATACCCATGGCTCACTTATCCTTTTGGCCACATGGTGGCTGGGTTTTAACACAGCTTTGCTTGTCTTGTGAACGCGTTATCTGCTTATAGTGTGCAATCGGCTTATGAAAGCTGAGCTGCATTACGCTGACGCAAGGTCTGTGCAGCTCGTACTTGCTGGAAGTGGTTTGGGCCTCAGAAATCAGCGGGCCTGAGAACTGTGGGATGTTGAAACTGCCAAAGGGCTTTTGGCATTGAGGGATAGAGAGGACACTATTTCCTTTCCTTTGCTGGAAGCCTTCATGCCGTATAAGGCATTGGTCTCCACCCTTCTTGACTGGAAATCTTGAAAAGGCTGTGTCCCAATCAGTGCCTACAATTCTCTTCTGTATTCAGCAGTTCCCCTCATTTTTCTTGTGATTCCTTCTCTGTTTTTGTTCTTTATTTTCCCCTATTTTCATTCTTTCACTTGTTTTTTCTTCAGTTTCCTCCTCATCTCTTACTTGTCCTTATCTATTCTCCTTCCTCCATTCACTCACAGACCTGCACTCTCTTGCTTTTACCACTGCCATGTGTTTTCCCTCATTACCTCCTCTTCCTCATCATCCCTCTATTTTCCGTCCTTCACCTTACTCCTAAAACCCAAGAGAAAATTAAGCTCCTGAGGAGCGTCAGGATGGGAAGAAACCAAAACATGATGAATTAGCTGTATCAGCAGAGAGTGAGAAGCCATAGGAGCTTTTGAAGGAGAGGCTGCTGCAGTTCTGCCAGCTTCTTACCAGGCATTTACTTTTGAGTTGAACTCCTCAGTATGTCTGAATAATCTGTCTCCAAAGAAGGAGAGATCATAAGTTGTAATCAAACCATCTTTGACAGGAAAAACTCACCAAGCAGGGATCTTGCCTCTCTGCTTGTAAGAGTACTGTGCACCTCTGTGGCATGATATAAATGAGAAGGTGACTCATTTTGGACAAACAAGCCATTAAGGGGATAAGTTGCACTTCTGTGAGGCATCTTTTAAAAGCTTTCCTGTGTTAAAAGATTCCTCGGAGTTTTTCCATGGAAATGAAGGGCCATGATTCAACTGCAGGCTCTTCTGGCCACATTACAGACAGAAGTACTGATGACTGCAGACAGCCACAAGCAGATGGCCAAGGTGGATGGTTGTTTTCTTGCATTTAAGTAGCTTAGACTACTTAAACGGTGGAAAACTGGGGTTAAAAAAATATCAGGAAGATCTTCTTTAAAGAGGAATGGTTTCTTAGAAGGGGATTTTTCTTGTGGGTCTGTCTCAGGCTGGCTCCTGGTGGGGGGGCTACTATGTCATTGTTTTTCATGGTTCTTGTGCTCAACAAGTACAACGTGTGTGCATACAAAATTCCTTTGCTAAGCCTGTGTTGGTTGCTTCCTATTTTTCAGGAGACAACAGAAAACTAAATATGAAACTGAATTCCTCCACCCTGGTGGATTCCTGGGCACAGCTGCTAAATAATTAGAATAATGGAGAGGGTAAAAGGGCTGGTTCCAGGTTAGAGCAGTCAAAGATCTGAGCCCTGCAACCTGACAAAGGCTTTAGGTACAGAGCCTGCACCTGGGATCGCACTTGAGACACCAAGGTGGGAGAAGGACTGGTGCTTTATTGCCAGATGCGAGGAAGCACGTGGGTCCTGCTGCTTGAGTTTGCTCCCAGTAGACTTTGGATGGAGACTGGAGCTTGGTCAGGCTGTGACAGTGCTCAGCAGAGCCAGAAGTTAAACATAACAAACCTAAGCCTGCTCTGTAGAGATGCTCTGCAGTCTGTGCTTGCCTGGCTTCCTGATCCAGCTAGAGCATCTCAACAACTGGTTTATAAAAGCCTTTAGCTACTGAAAATGCCTGGACTGCCTCACTGGGTCTTCTGCAAGTCATAGAACAGACATACTTGAATTAAAAAATAACTTAATAGTAAGTTAATTGTAACATAATGACTTAATAGTAACTAGACTGTTGCAGGTGAGTAAGGGTGGTTATCTTTGCCTGGAGGGAACTGTTGCTTTCTGCTTTCTAACAAACTTGACATGGCATTGGAGCAGAGTGCACAATAAACTCCCAAAGCTGATCCCTATAGTTGACAAGGGAAAGTGGCCTGAATGTGCTGGTTTTGGATGGAGGAAGAGGCATCCTGCTCAGGGCTTGGATTCTGCTGTGAATCACGTTGTCCGTCTTTCTGCCTTGTCTCTGGCAGGTCTATAACCTGACTCAGGAGTTCTTCCAACGAGGTAAACCAGTCAATGCTGAGAGCCAGAACAGTGTGGGCGTCTTTACACGGGACGTAGTGCGCAAACGTGTCAAGGCCGATCCGGATGACACAGAGGCCGTCAAGAGGCTGAAACTAGCCATGATCCAGCAGTACCTTAAGGTGTGTGTGCATGTCATTGTTTGCTTTAACTAAAGGCAGACAAATCTTGAACCTCAGAGACCTGGCTAAGCCTTGGCCATCACTGGGGAGTTGCTTTCAGTGGTCTCTTGCAGCTGGGACAGTTTGTGTTCATATTGACAACTTTTCCTTGTGAGGCATATCTGAAGACAGTGGGCTGCAAGAAGTCATGCCTTTCCTCTTGTTTTTTTTTACCTTTACTTTAAACTTTCAGCTTTCTACTTAGAAGGGGATTTCTTAGGCCCTATTAATTTTTCTGGTGTGATTTAATGTTTTCTTGCCACCTGAAGCGACTCTATTATTAGCTTCTTTTAGTTATGTCTTGTCTTATGCCTTACACCTGGGACCCCATGGTCCCACCTGAGTGTCTTTTACTCACTTCTGCCTCTGTCCACATCTCGGAGATGAGAAGAAATGTCACTTTGATACTAGTAATTTGCTGAAGAAATCCCTGGAAAGCGTTTTGAAGGTAAAGCAATAAATTCAAAGGCAGATTGTATAAACCCATGTCCTAATCATCTTTCCTTACAGCTTCCCTAGTTCTTTTTATCTTCTTCATGCCTTGGCCTAAATGATATCTCTGTGGGATGAGGACTTAATGCTGCATCAAGCACTCCACAAGTGTAACAGTCATTCCTTTTTCAATTATAATGACTTAAAGGCTTATGAATTGAGGCAGGGGAGGCAAGCAGCACTCTGTGGTGTGGGTAAGTGTATGGTATTCACAGGTGAAAACAAAATAAAGACCTGAAGAGTCTCACAGGAGATCTGTGATGAAGCTGAGATTTGAACCCAGGCGTCCTGAGCACTGTTCTGATATCTCATTGTCCTAACCCAAAAGCTTGTATGACAGAGCATTTCCACAAGTGCCACATAAAGTCTAGTTATTTATTGTGTTATCCATGTAACATCACCCATGCAGACATTGTTAGTCATTTGATACAGCTCTGTTTTTCCTGGTGGTTATTTCTGTGGTTGCTACAGGTTGCCACAGCCAGAGACTTTTCTGCAAGTCTTGCAAATCCCTTCTCATGTGTAAATACCTGAGAACAACAAGCTTCTGATACTTAAGACTATCAGATCAGAGTGGTTACTGAGAGAGTGGGGATTAACTGGTGTCCCAGGCAAAGTAGTTGCCTGTTTTTCTCCCTGGCATTTTTCCTTCATGGCTGAAAGAATCAAATACCCATCACCGTTTGTTAACTTTATAATGTGGAGCATCCTGTTGGAGCATCCAGGCAGGATGAGCAGCCTGTTGTGTGAGCCAGGGATCAGGGTCTGTGCTATGTGCCAGCAGAACTCACCCCGGTGGGTGTTGGAGAGTGCTTGCTTGGCCATCAGATGGAGTGCAACCACGGCAGACTCAGGTGATAGGTCTTCTTAGAGACCTAACTGCTGGTGACCTGACCCAGCTGTTGTGCCTGCTCAGTCTTCACCAGAGTCCTTGGGCAATTCCCAGGAATGGGTAACCAGCTCTGTGTCAATGCAGTCGCAGGAACAGCCTGTGAACTACTTAGTGCGTCTTTGGCTTGTTTGCATGATGTCTTAGCCCAGCGCAGAGATTGCTGTCCTGCACCAGGATACTCCAGAGGGAGAGGGTCTGGCTCTTGCCAGACTTCCAAACGTAGTCATTAAAGTGTGGAAAAGGTGGAAAATTGACCAAAGGGTGAGGCATGGAATTGTAAAGTTCCCTTTGCCTAAAATGCTTAAATAATTACAGCGTGCAAATCTTTGTGACTCTGGTGATTTGAAGATTTTAAGATCACTGTGTCCCATGCGTCAGTATTATCATTAGAAACTCATCACGAGACAGGCCAAACATCCTGCCTTTGTTCCAGGGATCCTTGGAAGCTACAGCTATGCCTAATACCCTTGCGAACACTTACCAACAGGTTCCGAATCTAAAGCTCTGATAATCACATCAAGTGAATCAAAAGCAAGTGTCTCACATCCTGGCATTTCCCGTTTCTGTCTGTTTCAATTCCTTCTGTGTTGGGTCCTCTCACCTCCTGCAGATTGTTAGCTTGCTGGTTGCTGACTGTTTGACAGCATGTTGAAAGCTGCAGACAGCAGAAATAGCTGCCAAAAGTTTTTCACGGCTTCTCATGGGAACATTTATTAACATTGGAAAGAGCATCTGATTAACATAGCTCCAACTTCTGTTGTAGGAGCCCCAAGCAGCCAGTCCCTGGCCAGTGCAGCGGGTTTTAAATGATAGAAAACAGTCAGAGCTGTAATGAAGAATCATACAGAAGCAGAGACACCATCTCTGAACTCTGGCTGATGCAACCCTGGCCGATGGAACCAAAGCTGATGCAGCTTGTTACCATGACAAAATGTTTTCTCAGGTTGGAAGGAAGGCTAAGGATTGATTTTTGTCAGATTCTATGGCCAAACACTTCTTTACTAGCAAAAATAATACAATTTAAGAGTGGGATGCAGGACTCTCAGCTTGTGCAGCTCCTCTCTGCCCTTGCAATGTTGTGCTGTGGCAAAATGAGTTGCTTTGTGGCGACGTTGCTTTTGTGTTGCTTTTCCTTAGGTAGAGAGTTGTGAGAGCAGCTCCCACAGCATGGATGAAGTCTCGCTCAGTGAATTTGGGGAATGGACCGAAATCCCTGGAGCTCACCACATCATTCCTTGCGGTTTCATTAAAATCGTGGAGATTTTGGCCCGCTCCATTCCCGAGTCTGTCATTCAGCTCCGCAAGCCGGTCAAGTGCATCCACTGGAACCAGTCAGTCAGCAAGGAGATTGAGAGGGTGGCTGACCACAACAGTGACCTCCCTGAGGAGGACAAGGGCTCCGATGTCTTCGTAGAGTGCGAAGACTGTGAGTTCATCCCAGCTGACCACGTCATTGTGACTGTGTCCCTGGGAGTCTTGAAGAAACGCCACGAGAGCCTGTTTCATCCCCGCTTGCCCGAGGAGAAGGTGATGGCTATTGAGAAACTAGGAATCAATACGACCGACAAGATTTTCCTGGAATTTGAAGAGCCTTTCTGGAGCTCTGAATGCAACAGCATCCAATTTGTCTGGGAAGATGAGGCAGAGAGTGAGAGCTTGACTTATCCCGAGGACCTGTGGTACAAGAAGATCTGCAGTTTCGACGTACTCTACCCACCAGAGAGGTACGGCCATGTCCTGAGTGGCTGGATCTGTGGAGAAGAGGCTTTGATTATGGAGAAGTGCGATGATGAAACTGTGGCAGAAACCTGCACCGAAATGCTACGTAAATTTACAGGTCAGCCATGCTCTGGTTCCTTTGGTGAGTGGAGAAGAGAGGGCGAGTGGGGCTGGGGTGTTGCATAACCACTAGGAAGGAAATACACTAAAGTAATTTTTAGTTCTTAGGTGTTTTATGTCCCTTTGAATGGGCTGTGTGTGGGCTTCCAGCATACCTCCTGCCTGGGTGTGCCTGAAAGCTATTTATAGGGAGGAGCTGATAAGCAGCTCGGGAAGTGGTGGGCAGAAATGCTTGAGGATTCCACATCCTCTGCTTTATTTAATCACAAATAACTCCTTAGCAGCTGGAACTGTCAGGTTTGGGGCTCCTGAGGACTGATGTCAGCTGTGGAAAGCAGCTCTTTTAGAGCCAGGGCAGTTGGACTTGTTTATATCAGCTGAGATGTGGTGGCTGAATCACATCCCTGATTTTCCCAGGCCCAAATTTTGAAGAATTCATTGATCTTGAGAGTTCCCATTTTCTGGGTACCTCACTGAAACCTTCCTGGACTTCACAGATTTCATGTTTACTGAGCACACATCACATTAAAGACAGTGATTGGAGCAAGACAGATCTAATGTGTGTTATGCTGAGGAAATCCAAGATGAAATCACTAAAAGTAGTAATTAAGAACATTCAATAGTTGAATACTTGATTGCAGTTTGTCTGCAATCACTTCTCTAGATCTTGCACACCTTCCCAAGGAAAGGGCTTTTTGTGTCTACACAGTTCTTTGAGATCTTCTGATGGAAGACTGTACAAGTGCAAGCGTAAGCGCTGAAAGAAATAGTGATTGACTCGTTGGCAGTCTTGAAATAAGGATTTTGGATTTATACATAATTACAAGCAATTACAAGAGCAGCATCCTCCAAGATTAGAATCGTAGAATCATAGAATGGTTAGGGCTGGAAGGGACCTTCAAAGGTCATCTAGTCCAAGCCCCCTGCAAGGAACAGGGACACCTCCAACTAGATCAGGTTGCTCAGGGCCTTGTCCGGCCTTGTCCAACCTGGCCTTGAACGTCTCCAGGGATGGAGCATCCACCACCTCTCTGGGCAACCTGTTCCAGTGTTCTACAACTCTCACGGTAAAAAATTTTTTCCTAATATCCAATCTGAATCTACCTCCCTCTATTTTAAAACCATTACCCCTTGTCCTATCACAACAGGCCCTCCTGAACAGCCTCTCCCCATCTTTCTTGTAGGCCCCCTTGAGGTACTGGAAGATTAGATGTATTTTATGCTATTACAGAGATGGATCCCGTGATTAAGCTATTTATATCTGTCTGTTAGATCACGTTAGCCAAATCTCAACACCCAAGAGGGTTTCCAGCCTTACCTCTTGTCCGTGGACCTCCAGTTAACTTAACAAAGGCAAAAAGAAATTTGCCTTCACAAGTGTAGCTTTCCCCTGTGCTTACAGACTATTTGCTACCAACAGCATGGAGATCTAGAGAAAGAGTCCTGGAAGCTGAGGACTACCTGCCTAACTGGCTACTGCCAAAAGAGGTTTCACATTTTACTGCTCTCCTCAGAAATAGTAGGGTAGACACTGGGTTCAGAAACCCTGATGCAGAGACCAAACCAAATCCTTGTTTCAGCCTGTTTGATGTTGCATTTATGTTGGATGATGAGCCTGTGGCTCCTCTGCAGCCTGCAGAGGACTAGGATGAACCAGTGGATGCTTGACTCTGGGCAGCCTCTGCCTCCTGAGCTGTTTGTTTTCAGCGGTGTGGGATACCTCTACGTTACCTTGCAATGTCAGCACATACATGCCGCCTTTCCGCCTGAGCTCAGCAGGCCAACTGCTGCCCTACGCAGGTGTAGCAGGAGGCTCTTCTCTTTAAGGCCAAGTTGTTCCAGTGCTGACGTCTCCCAGAGCATGTAAACAACTTTGTTTGTTGCAGCTTTTCTTGCTTAAGACCTCTTTTTTCTAAAACATGTCGATTCATCAGTGGGAATTTGGCTCTTTAGGTCTTTCTTAGTTTCACAGATGGAAGTATACTGTCCCTCTTCCTTCTTGGTCTCCTTCACTGCTGTTATTGTTTGCACGTGTTGGATGTTCCTCTCTTCCTCCCAGGATGGAAATATGTTGACACTGGGTCGTCGGTATGTGCTGCAGTTGCTGTTCCAGCTGATACTGCACCTGGTCACTGTCCATCAGACTCTTCAGCAGTGTGAGCTCTATCTCAGCCTTCTGCTAATCCTGAGTCATCTAGCCCTGGAGAGTTTCAGACTGAATTTACCAGGGCCTTGCCCTGCAATAAGCATTTTGTGCATGAGCTGAGACATCACCTCTCAGCTGCTCGAAACTGCGAGAAGAAAACTTATCCTTGGAGTGCACATTAAGCAACGTGACCTATTTCGCTTTCTGCCCCCAAAACTTACTAGTTTGTAGAAAATCTTTGCACAGCTGTTTGAGGATGGCCTCGCCAAGGTAGCTGGGTTTATCCTTTTACCCTTGCTCCTTTGTTTTCCCTCACAGGTTTGCCGAAGCAGCAGTGTCTCAAGGCTAATCTGGGCCAGGTGACAGGCAGGCTGAAATAACACAAGCGTGCTCAGCTCTCCATGCACCTACTGTCTTCTCCACTCATCTGTTTCATTGGGAGTGTGAGAGTGGCTCAGACCAGCTGAAGGGTGGTTGGGAGAGGACAAAGCAGCCTTCTGTCTGTGATCTAACTGTAGTCATTTCTGAAAACGACTGGTCTCCTCTGGTCCAGTCAGCACCACCAAACCCGGCTTTTAAAGCTTTTCCCACCACCCAACTGCATGGAAGTCAGCTAACTGAGTTAGGAAACTAGTCTTCCTAGGTTCCTAGGCTCAGTGGGAAGAAAGGCTCTTCCGTAAGGCAGTTCAGGTCTTCCTCACCTCACTTGGTGCTCTGTGACATCTTCTGAAGAAGCTTTTCTCTACTGAATATAGAGAGAGCCTTGTATTCAGTAATGAAAGTAGGTAGCATGAGCTTTTTAATGTTCACTTTGCCTTTTGTAGCTTTCATGTTCAGGGTATAAAATCCCCCATATTCTTACTTCTTATTCTTTTATTAAAAACCTAATGCATTAGCCAGGTGGGTTCCCATCTTCAGCTGAGTTTTCCCAGTGTGTTGCTCATGGAGGCCTTTGCTTTGCCTTCAGAGGGTGTTAGACCAGTCTTAAATCCATTCTTTTAGTCTGTGTTATTTCACACTGAGGATTTCTCTCTGAAAGGAGATGATCTGCCTCTGTGACCTTAAATTTCCCATGCAGGTTAGTATTGCGGATTATCTGGCTTTGCTGTGAAAAGCTCTGCGGATTGTTCTAACCTAAGAACCATTGACAATTACCGCTTTTCACAATTGGATGGCTGAAAAGCAGTGTCCTCTAAATCTGATTAAATGGGATGCCTCCGAACAATTAGAAGTCTTGCTCTGGTTTCTTTGTTGGCTAAGCTCCGAGTGTTAGAAGCCAGAAGGCAGTAATTGCAGGCCTGCTTCCTTCTGAAGGACTCATTGATTTGTCAAGCTGAGGCTGGAGATACCCTAAGTTGTCCTCCCTGTCCTCCACCTATTCCTCTAGAGGGGAATGGTTCTCTTTTAGGGTCTGGGTCATATCTGCCAGCACCTGTGGATGCCTGGGATACCCTAATGTCTCTCCGGTGGCTGTAGACACTAATGTGTAGGTAGTACCACAGATCTCTGTTGGCCTTGATGAGATCTTAGATACCCTGCTCTCGGGCTGACAACTAAATTTGGGTGTCTTAATTTAGATCTGTGAGTTGATTTTATGATAATCCTGTGTTCTCCTAATCAGCCACATAACCAATAAATCTGTGTAGCCACACCTCTCAGTAGCTGAATAAAGATGGGATTGTTGGAGGCACATGGAGTTTATCTTCCATAGCTTCAGAAGTGGGAATCTGTGGCATAAAGATATGTGCCCTCCTGTTTTAGTGAAGGCTAAAGTCCTTTTTTAGCCATTTAATCTCTCTTCAGGCAGCGGAAACTCAAAAGTTTCTACATCTGTATTAATTGTTACTTTTATCTGTAAGCAAAGGCACATGTTTATCAATCTATTTAAAAGCAGATTGAGAAAGTCCAATTAAATATGTTCCTTGAACAAGTGTGGCCCTCCCGGTCTTTGTAGTTTCTGTCTTGCAAACAACAGTTCAGGACCAGAGCTTGTGTTACATGTTCAGGTGTGACCTTCAGCCAAGCTCCTCCTCTCTGTATGCAGCAGAAAGGAAGGTCTCCTGTTTTTTCTCTTAGAAACAACTCCTCACATAAAAAATGGCATAAATGCAGGGGCACGACAGTTGCATAGTGGACCCTTGGATCATGCTCACGTGGTCTGAGGTGCTGGAGAACCTTTAAAGAGCTCATGAGAGCTGGTACACCTGCACGATACACACGGCATGGTGCTGGGGGAAGAGACTGGTTTCCGTCTGGGAGCCACACAGCTGCAATTTAATGTACCCAGCCTTAGCACTGCTCCACGCTGGCAGCTGGCTCGGGCATCTCTACATGAAGCTCTGCCGTCTGCCCACGGCCACGTGCTTCATGTTGCTGTGCTGCAGTTTTTCTTGTGATGAAGCTGCTACGTGAAGAATAACTCCCCGATGGGAAGGCTGCTGTTCACCTGTTGGTGTACACAGTCCAAGGTCATCCCTGGGAAACACTAGAGAGACACAAAGCTCTGAACAATTGCTCTATGAAATATTGCTGGATTTATACAATTGTTGATTGGGCTGTTGACTCCACAAGCTCTTTTGTTAACAAGTTTCGGTCTTTTGGCAGATCTGTGGCCTTATCTGCAGGCTGACAGTCCCTCATCTCGTTGCCTGTAACACTGAGTGTTCCTTGTGTTGGGGGCTCCAGCTCTGGAGTCCCCAACACAAGAAGGACATAGAGCTACTGGAACAAGTCCAGAGGAGGGCCACGAAGATGATCCGAGGGCTGGAGCACCTCTGCTATGAAGACAGGCTGAGAGAGTTGGGGCTGTTCAGCCTGGAGAAGAGAAGTCTCCGGGGTGATCTTATAGCAGCTTTCCAGTACCTAAAGGGGGCCTACAGGAAAGCTGGAGAGGGACTTTTTACAAGGGTGTGTAGTGATAGGACAAAGGGCAATGGATTTAAACTGAAAGAGGGGAGATTTAGGTTAGATATAAGAAAGAAATTTTTCACTCTGAGGGTGGTGAGGCACTGGAACAGGTTGCCCAGAGAAGTTGTGGATGCCCCATCCCTGGAAGTGTTCAAGGCCAGGTTGGACGAGGCTTTGGGCAGCCTGGTGTAGTGGAGGGTTTCCCTGCCCATGGCAGGGGGGTTGGAACTAGATGATCTTTAAGGTCCCTTCCAGCCCTAACCATTCTATGATTCTATGATTCTAATGTTAATCATCTTTTTATCTACATCTTACTTGTTGACTCCTGTATTGAAAATCTTCCTGGTATCTTGACAGTGGAACACGAGGACATGCACCAGGTACAGAAGAGGCGCCACCATCCCGCTGCAGAGACTCCTTTCATTTGAAAATACGTTGTGTGGTTGTTTTTGTGTAATGCAATGTGATGGATGACTGCTTTGGCCCTGTCTGGTGCTGTGTTGTCTAACAGCTTTCATGGTGTGTTCTCCTGGGCTTTCCCACAGACCTTAAAAATAAAATGTGATAACTTATTTCCTTGACGCATCTGAGAGCTCCCTGTTC